GCTGCACCATTTTACATTTCCTTCCTATTTCAGTTTTTCTCTCTTGCAGCATTTGACCTAGCTGACTGCTCATTCCTTCTGGAACGTCCTTCCTTTGTGTCTGAGGCTAGTGCCCTGGCTTCTCTTCCTCTGCTTCCTCTTGCAGTAGATCCAGTTGCTCAATAGATATTTCCATCTGAATGTCCCCCTGTTTACCTCTATCTCCGCATGCTCCAAGCTGAACTCGTGATACTGTCCTCTCCGTGCCAAGTATATTAGTTTGCTGGAGCTGCTGTAACAAAGTCCCAGAGAGTGGGTGGCTTAAAATAGAGAAATGTATTGTCTCAGTTCTGGAGGCCAGAAATCCAAGATCAGGGTTGGCAGAGTTCTTTCCTTCTGAGGCTGTGAGGAGGGATCTCTTTTATGCCTCTCTTCTAGACTCAGGTGGTTTGTGGGCAGTCTTTGGCATTTTTTGGTTTGTAGGAGCATCATCTCGATCTCTGCCTTCTATGTTCATGTGTTTTTCCCTATGTGAATGTCTGTCTGTCTCAAATTTTTCCTTTTTATAATGACACCAATCATATGGAATTAGGCTCCACTGTAATGACCTCATTTTAACTTGATTACCATTGGTAAGATCCTGTCTCCTAATGAGGTCACATTCCAAGGTACTTGGGGTTAGGACTTCAACGTATGAATTGGCCAGGGGATGGGGGGTGCAAAATTCAGCCCATGACACCAAGCAAACTTTTTTTCACATATTTCTGATCTTAATGAATGGAACCAATGTCCACTCTGTTCCTCCAACAGAAATGTGGGCATTGTCTCTCTCTTGTCACTTGCCCTTATGTTGACTGGGGTTCAGAGCTCACAGAAGTTGGAGGCAGATTTGGAATAGGAACCATAACCTCCAACACGTTTGCAAAGGGGTGACTCCCAATTGTCTGACAACTTTGCCCTATATCTTTTTTTTCTTTGTGTCAATCCCGTGGTACGAAAGTAATACTTTTGTACAAATTACAGAAAATTACAGAAAAGTATACAATTAAAATTTAAAATGATCTTATTATCCAATTACCCAGAGTCACTTAATATTTTGGTTTTTTTTTGTATATTTTATGCCTTTATGCATGTTTTTTTACTAGTTGGGTCATACTATATTGTAAGATTTTGAGTCCAACTTATAAAATTCAACATTAGATATGATGTATTTTCCCATATCTTCACAACATCTTCATAAATAGATTTAAATGGCATACTTCATCAAATGGCAGACTATGATTGACTTAGATATTCTTATTATTCTATTGTGAAACATGCAGGGTCTGCCATTTTTTGACTTTTATAAATAATGCCAGAACAAACTTTGCCATTAGTTTGTACTCAAATAACAAATTTGTTCATATTTCAGACATGATTCACCTGGGGGTGAAGGAGAAAGGTAGACACAGTGTCTTTAAGCAAATTATTAGTATAAATTGAAGGAAAGCTAAACTTATCTAAGCTGACAAATGACTTAGGCATTTCCTATGAAGAGTTACTGTATTTCGCCATGTATAATGCACACCCATGTTTCTGGCCCATGTATAATACCTATCTATCATATATTATAACTACGCATGTATAATGCGTACCCCTATTTCCCCCCTCAAAAATCTAGGCAAGAAGTGCGCATTATACATGGCAAAATACGGGTACTTTGTGATTTAAAATTTATTCTTCATTGAATTGCTATGGTAGATCACATTAGATTCTCTGGTCAACATTTTGCTTTTTAGTGATTCTTCATATATCATTTATAATGGGCTGTCTAATAGAACTTTTGGGTGGATGGAAATACTCTTTATCTTATCTGTCCACTATGGTAGCCAATTAACCACATGTGACTATCAAACACTTGAAATGTGCAACCAAAGAACCGAATTTTTAATTTTATATAATTGTAATTAAGTTTAACTAACTCTTTGTGGCTGGTGGTTATCATATTGGATAGTGCCGTTCTATCAAGATGATGACTAAACACTTTTATAGTGCTTTACTTTTTCCTAGACACGATTCTAAGTGCTTACCTTATTAATCTATTTCATCCTCACAGGGATTCCATGAGGTAGTCTTCCAGTTACTAGTGCTATAGAACAAACTATTGCTAAGCTTAGTAACTTAAAACAACAGCAGTCACTTATTTTGCTTAGGAATCTATAATTTGGGCAGGTTTCATCAGAAACAGCTCATCTTTGTTCTATGGGACATCAGCTGGAGCAATAGGATCTACTTCTAAGATGTTTCAGTTACGTGATTGACAAATTGATGACTGCAACTGACAAGGGATCACTTCTAACACACTCTGTTGGCCAGGCAACACATAGAGTATATATATTGAAGGGGAGGAGATACAGACCTTACATCTCCATGGCGGCTGTATATAATAATTGGAGCCATGTTTTAAAATCATCATAGAAAGGCCCTGGCTGGTGTGGCTCAGTGGATTGAGCACCGGCCTGCAAACCAAAAGGTCACTGGTTTGATTCCTGGTTAGGGCATATGCCTGAGTTGATGGCTAGTTCCCCGGTTGGGGGCGTGCAAGAAGCAACTGATCTATGTTTCTCTCACACATTGATGTTTCTCTCCCCTCTCTTTCTCCCTTCCTTCCCCCTCTCTAAAAATAAGTGAGTAAAATCATTTTAAAAAATAAATAAAATCATCATAGAAGGGTACAATCATTTTTTTACTCCATTTTACATGTCAGGAAATTAAGCACAGAACATGTAAATAATTTGCCTGAGGTGACAATCTCTGTAAATGGCCAAGCTGTTATTTATGCCAAGCAGTCTTGACCTTTTAACCTCAGAGCCTATATTTCATCTCTCTATAATTCATGTTTTGGTCATTTAGATTGATATCTTTTCCAGTTTTTTCATGGTAGAATAATTATGATACTGTGACTGACACATGTTTGTAAGTCACAAGCACTGTAAATATGTAGTGTCTGCAAGGGTTTGCTAGATGTCAAACGGTGAAGACACATTCTCAACTATGTGGTTCAAGAGGAGCTGCATGGCTCTGCTGCTCAGCTCCTCTGCTTTCCTTCCTGCTTCCTACTGCTCCCAAAGAGAATTTGTTATCACTTCCAGATTGAAACAGAGTATGATTCTGAATAAAACCCTTTCAGTTTTACCATGCTGCCTGCTTCACCTACTCCTAGCATACAGAATGAGTGTTAGTAAAAATGAATCAATAAATAAAACTTCTTTAGAATTATAATTACTTCAATTCTTAGAAGAGAAATCCAAAAAAATGTAGGTTGAAAATACCGGTTAAAAATATATCGGTTATCCGAAGTTCTATAGGTTGCTCGGTAATGAATGCAGCATATACAAATCTAGGAAACCTGCAATTTCCTTTCATGCTCAAGTTCAAAGATAATGGATATTTATGTGTGAAAGAGAGACAGACCTTTGCAAACAGCAGCCTGGTTTGCAAATTAGGCTGCTGTTTGATACTATTTGCTGCAGTGATGAAATGTGGTCCTTACATACCAGGTGTCTGCCCCCACCATGGAATCATTACAACACAGATTCTTTTTTTTCACCAAAATACTCTTGAGAGAGCTTGAAATTAAATGTATCTAGCTTTCCAGTTTCTGGATTTCTTAAGCAACATGTATGAATCTTTTTGACGTAGGAAACGCCATTTTTATCACTTCATAATCTGAGTATTCCAAATAATGAGACTTTATTTCGATCAAAGCTTATATTTTTCTTTAGTTGTCACCATACCTGACCCCCTCTATGATAATTCTCTCCACATTTTGCATCCGGGAACTGGTGCTTTGCTGATTTTCTACACAGTCAGCTCTTTCTCTGTTATCTTAATTGGCCATATCTCGCTTAGGTTACTTAATTTCTATGTAGGAGCCTAACTGGCATCCCACTGGCCTGCCCAGATATCCGACTGCCTCCAGTGTAAGTCCATGTGATACTTTGACATGTCTAAAAGCAAACTTATTCTTTTCTCCAGTAGCTGCCGCTTTCTCAACTGTCGTTTTCTGAAGTCATGAGACCAGTCCCCACTGTCTTTTTTTTTCCTTCTGATGCCCCATGTGTATCTTCCACAGCATTTCTCCCATAATGCCATGATCTGCCCATGTGTTGACTTGTTTAGTGGCTGTTGCTGCTGCTACCCTCCAAGTTCCAAGATGGCACTGGCCAAGTTACGTTATTGGTCACTCTCTCTATCCATCTTCCAGGATGGACATCCCCCTAAATGTTAATTTGGATCGCTGAATGAACAAACAAATGCGTACACTTTCATTGTTATGCTTTTGCACGCCTGGGCCAAAATTTTAATGCCATCCTAGATTTTCTCCGTTTTCATACAGTACGTCCTCCAGTTTACTAAATCCTTCTAAGAAGCTCCATGAGACAAGGATCTTTGTTCTTCTTGCCCAATGATATATCGCAAATGCCTCTAATGGTGCTTTACTATGTTACAGAAATCATTCTAAATGTTTTGCATATATTAATTTATTTATTTTTCATAATAACCCTAGAAGGGTGGGTAGGTACTGTTAGTATGCCCACTTCACACTTAAAGCGAGGCATCATTTTTGTCACGGTTTAGTGTCGCACGGCTGCTAAGCGGTGGAGTCAGAACTAGAATCCATGTCTTCTAAGTCTGTACTAACAATGCTGCACAATGATTATGTGTCTATTCTGTGCTGGACACTTTACTGACTACTTTTATGTCATGCCGAAGAAGCAGAAAATGGCTTTGGAGATGATTTAAAAAAAATTATCCAGGTGAGGACCCAGTTCATGAATAGCAGGGACAGGAGGCATTGTGTTAGCCCCAACAGGCCTGGGCCTTCGCCCCCTGTGCCCAAACTTCCAGACCCACCAGCGTCTGCGTGGCCTGTGGTTCAGGGAGCAGGCTTGGATTTAACACGCACATTTCCCCAGGTGGTTGGGTTTTCCATGCTCCCTGCAGTCACCTAACGCAGCCACGTGCATTTCTTCTTACAGACAATGGTGGCAGCCGCGCACTGCACTCCAGAACAGAGACGACAGCATCGCCCACTGACAATACCAACAGCGGACACCCCGAATATGTTGCGTTCGCGCTTGTCCCTGTGTTCTTCATCATGGGCCTCTTTGGCGTCCTCATCTGCCACTTGCTTAAGAAGAAAGGCTATCGTTGTACAACAGAAGCTGAGCAAGATGTAGAAGAGGAAAAGGTTGAGAAGATAGGTGAATAATCTGGATTTTTTTTTTTAAGTGTCTCATGTCCACTTTTTTATGATTATTGAAGATTTTATTTATTTATTTTTAGAGAGGGGAAAGGAAGGAGAAGGAAATGGAGAGAAACATCATGTGTGAGAGAAACAGTGATCAGTTGTGTCTCTTGCAGCCCCCACTGGGGACCTGGCCTGCAACAGGCATGTGCCCTAGACTGAGAGTTGACCTGGCAACCTTTTGGTTCACAGGCCGGTGCTCAAGCCATTGAGCCACACCAGCCAGGGCTAGATTCCTTTTGAGAGTGTGAGTGGGGACAATTTTTAAATAAGAAAGCAGTCATATACATATATATATATATATTTATATATATATATATGTATAAATATATATATATACTTTTTTTCATCTCTGTGAGGCAAAATGATCCATGTTAACAGCAGGTGGTATGGTATAGTGTCCGTATAGATTTCAGTGACCACACCTAGTGTTTGAAACCTGGCTTTCATTTATTTAATACCTACTAGGTAATTACTCTTAGTTGCTTCGGGGCCCTGAGCAAGTTACATGTGCTCTGAATCTCTGCTATGTATAATTTAACTGGAATTTAATTTTAATTTAATGCTGATTTAATTACATTTTTTATTTCATTTCTATGAGTATAGTAATCTCTACCTCATAGGATTACCGTGAAATTTAGAGAGAAGATGCATGTGATATTTGGCACAGATGGCCACTCAGTAAATATTAATTCTTACTGCTATTACTGAATTAGATTCTAATTAAAATGATGGGAAAAGTCAATAGGTTGCACCATTTTGAGGGTTATGACTTTTGCTAGGGGAGTTCTCTCTTAAATCTGTGAGATTGGAGTTTGTGTTGTTTAAATTAATGATTTGTGAACAGCGCAGTGTAAGAATGGCAAGGAACTGCCTTAGTATTAACTTTAGGGTAACTCACCTTTTACTGTTAATGCGAGGTTGTGGGGTAGTGTTTAGAAAACCTAAGAGATGAAATCCTGTTTTCTCCATGAATGTTCTTTATAACCAGCCTGACTTGGGTCTTGGGGAGTTGTAGGTAACTCTCCATATCTCTTTCTTAAAGGGCAGTTTTTACAGAAGGTGACATTTGGCATAAGTAGGTCGCCCTTCAAGCCAACACCAAGGGTGGAGTGGGGGGAGCTTCCTCATTCCTTGCCAGCTTGCTGGCCTGTTGGCTTTTCCCACCCCCACTGACCTTTGAGGCAGAGAGAGAACACGGTTGCAGGATGAGTCATGTGCAACTTATGAGCATACCAAAGCTGAGTGTTTGTCAACAGAAAGTGGAGCCTCCCCCTCTCCTTTCTAGACTCTCTGTAGGCTGGCTTAGCAGTCAGCATTTGCACTGTCCAGCCAAACACGTGTGTTCACAGAGGAGGAAACATCCGTGATGGAGAAGACACCCTTCCAGATACACAGGTAGAACATCACACACCTTGATTCCTTCTCTGTGAGCTCGGATGGAGTGTTTTGACACTCCCTCTTTCCTCTTTTTTCCCTCCCTAAATATTTATTTATTTATTTATTTATTAATAAATAGAGAGAGGGGAAGAAAGGAAGAGAAACATCAATGTGTGAGAGAAACATTGATTGGAGACCTCTTGCATGCCCCAACCAGTGTCCTGGCCCACAACCCAGGCATGTGCCCTGACTGGGAATTGAACTGGTGACCTTTCAGTTTGCAAGACGACACCCAACCCACTGAGCCATACCAGTCAGGGCTCTTCTTGTTTTATTGAAACTAATTATACAGACAGGTTTCAGAGTAGAGGTTTGATTTTTTTTCTTTTCCAAAGACTACCACATACAAAAGTCTCCAAGAGTAAACTGACTTTGTGAGCAAATAACCATGGCCAAAATTTAGATCATTTAGAAGTATATTTAACAGAAAGAAGAATCTTTTAAACATGGATGAATATTACATTACTTAATTTAAAAAAGAAATTAATACCCTGCATTTAATTTATATAGTTCATCTGCAATTAAAATAACCCAAGAAGAATTTTTCCTTTCAATAAGCTTTCTTCCATTACCCCCAAGGATCTAATGAAGTACTGAGAGAGAAATATTAGTGGTATGGACTGAGCCTTAGAAAAGTGTGGTGTTGGGATTTGAGAAGGGACTGATGGACAGCTCTGGGAATTTTTATGTCTGTTGGGCCAAGGAAGGCATGTGGGCTCTACTCTAGGCAGTTTGGAGCTGAAGGAAGGAAGCTGGGTTTCTTAGCATGAGGGGTGATCGCTTGAATTTTCTGCAGACTGTTCAGGGAGATCTTGGGCTCTGAAACTGAATGCCTCATTGATGTGATGCAGGAGACCAAATGTAACCCTTCGTCCCATCCCCTTTCTCTTTCAGAGTTGAATGACAGTATAAATGAAAACAGTGACACCGTTGGGCAAATCGTCCACTACATCATGAAAAATGAAGGTATGGCTGTTTTAGTGTTCTGGAACAATTCACTATTCATGCGTTTCATTAAGAACCTGCTTGGAAGAGTCAGGATTTGTATGGACTCTCCTGCCGATTGTCTGAAGTTACTGGCGGCATCTTTTACCTAACTCAGCTTCCAGCGTTAACCCACAGTGAGCCTTTCAAATAAGTGGGGTTTTTAAGAGCCTGTCAGCCTGAGGGTCGCAGAGTTAGCCCTGAAGGGGACAGCTTGCCTTCAGATCCTGGCCTCACCCCAATTCGGGGAAGGTCACATGACCTCAGTTGCTCCTCTGTGAAATGAAGGCAGCCGTAACACCTGCCTCATCGCATTGTTGTGACACACTGCACAAAACGTGCTTAGTATGATAGCCCTTATATTATCTGTTCCTTTTTTGTGCTTTATAAAAATTATGGTAAAATACACGTCATATAAAACTTACCATTATACCCATTTTTAAGTGCATAATGCATTGGCATTGAGTATGTTCACGGCGTTGTACAGCCATCACCACTGTCTGGTTCTAGGACTCTTTTGTCATCCCAGAGGGCATCGCTGTGCCCGCTCAGCAGGCACGCCCCGTTCCCCGTCCCCTCCGCCCACCACCTGCTGGCCTCCACTGCCCTGCGCTCTGTCTCTGTGGATTTGTCTGTTCTGTTATCCATTCTTAAGTGTAAAAACTTTTTAAAAGTTTACCCTTTATCAATCTAAGCATTTTCCCCTCTGAAATGTATTCTAAATCTTGTTAATGGAGGGTTCATTGAATCTTCATTAGGTGCGTCAGGGTCATTGCTCTGAACACTGGTTCTGGTCACCACAGGGTGATTCCATGCCCTCACTGGCTTTGGAGGTTTGTGCAGCTCCGGGCCCACATACCCAACAGCTGCAGATCCCCATACTTTGAATTCTCATGAGAATTGAAAAGAAAATGTTATCCTTGGGCAATGGCTTTGCTTGTTGGTGCTTAATCATATGGTGTGCACAGAGGCACCTGAGCCATTTGTCCAGAAGCTGAAATACCTCCTATTGCTCAGCAAATGCCTGCTCTTCTGCCCCAGGCCTTCCGTGGGGGTCCTCTACCTCCTTATCCTCACTATCAACAAGAGCGTCCGCCCGGCCCGGGCTGTTGGTCCATGCTTTTGAGTTGGAGAAACAGCTGTTTCATAAGGTTTGGTGTACTTTTTATTGTTCTTTACAGAATGTGCTTTATGTGTTTGGCATAGGTCTAGGTGCTTTATGTGTGTAATTTCATGTAATCCTCAAAATATATCTTCAGTGAGTATTATATCCATTTCACAACAGAAGAAATGAAGGTTCCAGGTATGGCGTTCACACGGTTGGTAAGCGGGCTTGTTCTATCTCGGCCTCTCTCAAATGTACAGTGTTGCCTCTGCTCTCTTCTAATTTGTAGTTTTCAGTTTCTACAGGATGTAAAACCAGATAACCAAATTTAATAGTGGTTTTTAAAGTAAGAACAAAAAAGACCAGAACACTTGGATTTTGATCTGTCTTCCAGAGGTGGTCCTTCAGGGAACAATATTCGGTGATACTCTTCTTGAGCATGTTTCCCTCACGTGGAAAAGTGGTTTTTAATTTGCACAAGCAACACACAAATACGTGCTTGGCATAGAAGCTTCAGCCGGGACAGAAGGACACAGAGCGAGACGGGGACGGCCTCTTCCTTGCGCCCCTGCCTGTGCATTCGCAGCTGCCTCCGGGGACTCTGGGGAGCTGGGCGGCCTTTTGGGACCTGGGCTTCATGGAGCTGAGCAGCTCCTAAGTCCGTGAGAGCTGGAGAGAGGGGGTCAGTCAACTCTGGCAGTCACCTCTGGAAACTTTGCCAGGGGCTAAATTCTTAGGTACAAGTTTACAGTGAACACTGAGTGTTTGCTACATGTCAGGCCTGTTCTAAGGGCGTTTTGGGGACTTACAACTCTATGGTTCAGACGCTTTATTCCCATTTTACAGGTGAGAGACTGAGGCCCACAACTGCTTAACTAATTTGCTGGCAAGTGGTGGAGCTGAGAGAAGGGCTCTAGCATCTGACTCTAGAGCCTGCACTTCACCCCTTGTGGTTACTGCCTCTATTGTGGAGCAGGAAGGAGGGATGGTAAACTTCCTCCTTTCAAAGGGTTAAAGTATGCAGTTGGGGTAGTTTATAGAACTCTAGAAACATTAACGCATTAAATTCTCAGAACTGCCTTCTGAGCCGAGGCTGCAGCCAAGGGGCACAGAAACTTGCCCAAGGTCTCACAGCCCGTGATTGGCAGGGCTGTGCCAGCAGCAGCCACAGAGCATTTGGGTCCCTGGAGCAAGCACCCTATGTGATTTCCTCACCTCCTACTCTCAAGGGCAAATTGGCTGTTCTTCTCTTATTTTATTCATGTCCTTTTCCTGTTGGAGAGTAGCTTTTGTGATTCCTGGTAGGTCTGGTAGGGCGATACCCAAGATGCAGTTTCTGCTCTTTCTCTTCTGCTCTGCTTCTGTCTGATTCTTTACCCTCTTCCCTGTCCATGCCTTCATCTGTCTGCCTGGGGTTTGGCCAGGGACCTGTGGGCACGGCTGGGGATTCTGATCCTTTGTGCTGCCCCAGGTCCTCCTAGGCCATCAGGAGACATCTGACCTCACAGGACATCCCTTTTCCAGCTCTGGCCCTCCCTAGCTTCCAGCCTGTGCCCAGCCACAGCTGGGTGATCAGTTACCTACCTGTCACCAGTTATAACCTAGCTTTTTCAGTTTTCCTTTGAGATTTAAATCTTCTATAGAACAAATCCATTTTTATTTTCCTTTATCTCTGTCATTAAGAGACTCTGAACTTACTACCAATTTAGACTTCCCTGTTGGTGTTAATGTAACATTATAATTCTTTTTAATTATAAGCACACCATTGTATAACCTTTTAAAAATGGAGGAAAAAAGGAATAAAATTAAGAACAGTTCATCCATTGTATTGTCCCATGTTTATGTAGGTTTTCTTTGTCTATATTTACATCATTTAGAACATTTGCAGTTGTGGTGTATGACCAGCCGTCTGCTTTGCATCTTTAATTTGGCTAACCAGGTCCCATTTCACCTGTGCTCATGGTAACGGTCTTATGTTTATGGTTTAAACATAACACGTCTTGAGTGTTGCAAATCAGCTCAGTTTAGATAAATATCTCTGGAAGGATGACTTTATCAGCTGACCTGAGCACTGATTATTTTCCTCCTAATCTCAAGTCTTGGACTAACTGCAGTGCCACCTTTGATTTTCCTTTCTAAAGGAAGCTGAAATGATGAGTGTTTGCAAGGTCATTGTTTTTTTGTTTGTTTTTGGATGTGTGTGTGTGTGTGTGTGTGTGTGTGTGTGTGTGTGTATGTATGTTTGCATTGTATGGAGTTTGGAAAGTACCTGCAACTCCACGGCTGAGCTTCCCTTCTAGGCCCTTGAACCGTCTGATATAGGAATAAGAGCATTGCAATTATTCTCCAAGTGCCCTTGATCATTCACACCAGGCTGAGAGATCTCTGTGTGAAGTTCTTAACTGCAGTTTATGTTACGGCAAAAAGGATTTACTCTCATAGGCCTCTGAAACTTGCTGTAGTGATTGTGTAAACATCCTGTCAATTATTGAACTATTACTCATTGGGGTAGAGACTTGGAGGAGTAGGAAGAACATCAGGGTGAAATAGAGTCAGAGAGACCAGGGTTGTGTCCACATCTGTCACTATGCATGTGACTCTGGTCAGCCAGTTATAATCTTTAGGCTTCAGTCTCTGTATCTATAAAATGGGGGTCATAATTTTACCTCCTGCCCGCGTTGCCAGGAGAGTCAGATGTGGTGAGGTCTGTAAAGCTGTTAGCCAGTGCCTGGCACACACAGGCACATCCTCTAACTTTGCTGAGGGCAGTTTTGCTCCTTGCTCGGGAAATCTGCCTTGAGTGTAAGGAAAAACTTTGTAGAGAATGGTGATGGGAGAGAAAACAGGGCTTTTTTTTTTTTTTCCTTGCCTGATTTTGATTGCTTTATGCATATTATCAGGCAGAACGTCAGGAAAGAAGGAAGGAAGCTTTTCCTGGAAAGTATTGTCCGTGGGAAAATTTCTCTCATTCTTGACAGGCTTTCTCTTCCCAGTAACTCAGTCATCCTGCTCTCTGGAAGTTCAGGAAGAGAGGCGGAGTTGACAGAATGTTGATATGTGTAGGAGAAACCATCCTTTATGGCTTATTGGAGTTATGAGTACTATGCAAGGAAGAGAGAGAGATATGATAGAGTTTAATTAGATTACTGCTCTTTCATAGTAATTTTATAACCAGATTAAATCATGTGTATAGGTCCTAATGGTAGCATTAGAAAGTTTCCTCATCACAGGAAAGCAAAAATGTTCCCAAGGCACAGATTACTGAAGTTCACTGCCTGGTATAGACTGGAAATTAGACTAGAGACGAGAGTGTATATGTGTGTATAGAGATGAGAGGATCAGACAGGCTGGGCCTGGATGATTTTGCACATAAACTTGTGTCTACTCTGGAAGACTTCACTCATAGTGAACAAAGAGGCTGTTTACTAATGATTGCTAGGAGAAAAGGGTGAGGTACTGGAGTCCATAAATACATGAGAAACAACACTATAAAAAATAAGTTTTAGTAATGATTTTACTATATTTTAATAATCTTCCTGGGACCATTTTATAATTTGATGTTTCTAAAAGAGATTATCATTCTACCGGTTGTTAATTTTCTCAGGTGACTATTTAAAATTTTGGAAACCACCTTCTTATAAGTGAGTGCCATTAGTGTTATTTTTGCTGTACCTTTTTTTGGGCTTGTTATTCCTCTTTTCTGTTTATAGTTTTGAAGTTTGGTAAATTGTAGCAGAGTAGAAGTGTCAACTGGCAAATTATTACGTAGGCACTAAACCCTTTATTTGAAATAAAATTATTTTTCTGAATCTTTAATATAAGTCCAAAGGTAAAATGAGTGACATCACTAGAATATACTTAAATTTGTCTCTCAGAGGGTAACATGCCATCTTTGTCGTATGGGAGAAGATACTGGCAATCTGTTTTAGTTCTTTCTTTGTCATGACAAGAAGTCTTATTTAGAGCAAACTTGCATTTGGGCATGCAGTAGGGCATCCTCACAGATAGCCATGAGGGCAAAAAAAAGATTTCTTTGAAAAAGGTGAAAGATTTATACGATCTGAAGAGAAAGCAGAGTATAGATTTCTTTGAGAAAAGAATGGTATGTTGTGCTAATAAATTTTTTAAAAAACCCATGTATTTGCAAGTGTTGTGATGGAGTGAAAATTAGATTGTGGGGGCAAAAAGACAGTATTTATATATAAAACACAGATATACATATAATACATAAAAAGGTGCTATCATTTCCTGGGAAGGTGACTAGGAAAAAAATGTCAAAGAAAATTTCCCGGGTAGGGCAACAATGAAAAAAAAAACCAAAAAATGTTGAGAAACATAGTATAAACCCTCCACTGTTAATGTGTAAAAGCAGCAGTTGGAACCAGAGTAAATTTTCCTCTAGTAGGGGTGTTCACATCTGAGATAGTTAACATTCAAGATGTTAACTATTAAGTGTCCGTGTTAGCTCACAAGGTAAATAATGTCTTTTTATTCTTTTATCCCTAGAGGATTTGTTGTGGCTCGTCATGAGAACAGTGCCTTAAAACCTAATGGAAAGGTTAGGACTTAGTAATAACATGTGGCCTTTCCTGTTAAAACCCAAGAGAAACTTGAACATTCCCTTCACTACTGTTGGGAGCTTGACCGCTCACTCTAGAAGAGGCGAGAAGAACAAGCATGTCTGCACATGGGGGTGGGCTGGGGATCCCAGAAGCCTCGAGTCAATTTGCTTTTGTTGACAGCCATATACAAAATAGATTTTTTAAAAAAATTAACATTAGGATTGTCATTTAACTTAGTCCATATTAGGTAACTTGCATGTGTGGCTAGCCCTTGAAATTTTAAATCACATTGCCTGAGTTAAGGTCCTGTGTGGTCTGGAAACAGAGGGAAGCCACGTGGCCCACAAGGAACATTATATGTAGGACGAACTTGATACTACATGAGTATCCAGAATTTAGAGGTTATTATTTGGACACATAGAGATCATCAGCATCCAAGTGTCTTAAGACATATATTTTCTTACATACTTAGTCAAGTGAGCCGAATGCCTTGGAGTGTTTGAAGGGAGGAAGAAATGTCCTATGTTACAGTGTAATGATGTGTAGGAAGCAGAACTCCATATTGGATCTGCTTTCCTCTGTGTAGATTCTCTGCCACTCACTACTACACTGCTGTGCGGGGCATTGGCAGATGGCACTGTATCACCGACTACCTCCTCTCCCTTGTCCATGATCCCAGGGCCTTGGCTATGAACTGGAGGAACTGAATCAGGTGTTTTTCCAACAGCTTTTATGATGTGATCATTCTGTGATTACTCATCTTTTTTATGCTATTTTAATTCTTTACACTTTTTTTCTCTTTAGCAAATGCTGATGTTTTGAAGGCAATGGTAGCAGATAACACCGTGTCTGATCCTGAAAGGTGAGTACCCCTCCCCTCATTTCACAGGACATTTTTTTTCAGTTGTTTGCTAGAGCAGGTTTCCCAACTTTGGCACGTTTGAGCCAGACCCTTATTTGCTGTGGGGAACTGTCCCATGCACAGGGCTATTTAACAGCATCCTCGGCCTCGCTAGACGTCAGTGTGTCCTGGAGGCGCAGTTGCTCCTGGTGGAGAACTACCGTGTTTGAGAATGGAGATGGGAGGAGGTAACAGCCTCGCTTCTGGGGACCTGGGCTGTGTCTTACCTCCAGCGCTTATTGGGCATCTCTCCTTGGGGAAGTTAACTGACCACTGTGAGCACAAGTTCCATCTCCTATGAGAAGGAGATAAGCACTGCACCAACTTCATTGGGTTACTGTAAGTAGGACAAACTGCCTCAGGCATCAAAAGACCTCCATGAACAATAACGATTAATGAAAAACAGGCTGGTTTGGGGGTACCTGCTAGGTTCTCTGTATTACCAGTTTTTGGCTATAGTTGTTGAGCGTCCTAGTCTTTCCTAATTAATTACAGAACTTTATTCCTATATACCCTTTCATTGCTCCAATAAGGAGCATTTATTGAGTGCCTGCTGTGTGCTGGGTACTCTGCTGGCATTCAGATCCTGGTCTAGTGTGAGCCTTCAGGAGAGAGCACGTGACTGCAGTAGGGGGGGTGAGGGCCAGGTGCTCTGGGGGCCCCCTGGGGCCAGCGGGAGGCCAGGGGAGGTTCCCAAGGAGTGCCATCTGACTCAGGCATGTGACAAGCAGAGACAAGAGGCAGGGGCTGCTTGTAGAACAGAGAAAGTTTAGGAGAAACAGCCCCAGAGCGTGGAAGTGTGGGACGTACCTGGACAGGTGCAGTCTGGGGTGGCCAGGGCATGTGTTGTGGACAGTAGCGAGAGGGGCCAGCAAGGCAAGTGGGGATTGAGTGACATGGCAAGGAGTTTAGACCTTTTTCTGCTTACTCTGTGGGTGGTGCACCCAGCATATTTTAAATACGTAATACGTGCTTGTCAAACTGGCTGTGTTAGCTTTACACTTTAGCAAGGTAACTCAGTGCAGGGAGATCAGCTTACGAACCGCTGGTGGTGAAGTTCATAGAGACATATGAGCTGTGATTTCTCCCACATCCGAGCCCTGAGCACAGACACCTGGTGTTAGGGGCAGGTTCGCTTGTGGTATGTTTGCCTCTGTCATCTTTAGGCATCACGTAGGGCCTTCATTGGGTTTTATACCCAGTGGGTATTTGATAAATGTTTGTTGAATGAATGTTGTTAAACTTTTGAATTCCACCCTCTATGTGGTGTCAGTTTAACACTGTTTTGCCCCAGACAACTGCTGCTGTGTGTTTTTATTTTAATGATCTAAAGAGTACCAGGAAACTATTGGTCGTCTGTGATAGTTGAGAGTATCTTTTCAACCACTGGCTACACTTCTGTTTAATGTGCAAGCAGGCTGCTTCCAGCAGCACAGAGCATGGTTTATGCAGCCATGAGACTTCCATGTATGTGCCTTTGGGGCTCTGGGCACAGTCCCAGGTGTCAGGCTCTGCTGTGAAGTGTCGCCTCCCCTGTATGCACCTGTAGCCACTCATACCACGTCAGAGGGCTGATTCCCAGTAAGGCTGGCCCTGTCCTGTTTTAATTCCTCCTTTTCTAGTGGACCAGCGCGTTGACATGTGCCTTTGGAAAGCAGCCAATCCCTGGCCAGTGTACTTCTGCTTTTTAATATTTTGGATGGTCTGGCTGGATTTCTTCCAGATTATCAAAGTGATCTCCGTGTTTCTAAACCACTACGTGCTGATAAAGATCATGGTTTCTAGAATTAGACTTCCCAGATTTGTGCCTCAACCAATTACTTATTAGCGTGACCTTGGGCAATTTATTAAATTTCTCTGAGCCTCAAATTTTTTAAATGAGAAAATTGATACCTACCTCATAAAGTTCTGTAAAGTGAATTAAATTAACATATATCGAATGCTTAGAATACTATTTTAACTATTTCTATTATTACTATTATCAACTCCATCAGCACGGAGCATCACTTCATATCTTGACCTAAAAACTTTCTTATTTTGATGCAATAGTCAATTGGATCAAATATCCTACCTTAACTCATTGGATAATTTGACTGGAATTTAAGTTTACCAATCCTCAAGGGCATCTCTTTGCTTAGAAATCTAGGCAGGCACTTTGCTATGTGTGAGAAATTAGTATGATTGCATGAGCATGGAGAACAGTTGCTTAGAAAGAAACCTAATACTTTAAAGACGAACAGTCCATGATCATTAGAAGCAGCAACTTATTTCTAGCCAGTTAGTGCCATTCTAAAAATGATAAATCACATTATTGCTGTTTAAAATGAGCTCTCATTGCATAGTCGTAAGAGCTGAGTGTTTGCGGCCTAAGGTCAGTTCACAAAGCCCGTTGGTTTATTTGGAAAAGACATTTCTTTCTTTTGACTTACACCTGCCTCTTTCGTGGCAGGGGGAGAGATGGCCTTAGCTGGTGTTTCTTTTAGGTAACCAGTTCTACCTCTTTTTTCTTCCCACCTTAGCCCTGTGACCCCCAGCACTCCTGGCAGCCCACCTGTGAGCCCCGGGCCCTTGTCACCAGATGGCACTCCAGGGAAGCACATCTGTGGCCACCATCTGCACACAGTGGGCGGTCCCGTCGAGAGGGATGTGTGTCATCGGTGTAGGCACAAGCGGTGGCACTTCATAAAACCCACCACCAAGTCCAAAGAAAGCCGTCCAAGGCGTCAAGGGGAGGTCACCGTCCTCTCTGTGGGCAGGTAAGAGTCCTGTGGGTGCTCTGGGTTTGTGTCCCATGGGTGCTCCGCTGGATGGATTGGTACTGACCTGTGAAATATAAAATGTGTTCTCCTTAGTCTGATTCGGGTCACACCTCTGGACTTTTTAGGAGTTTTCTGGTTGAGTTCTGCACTCTTCCAACAGCAGAGGAATCCTAAGAGGTAGCTATTGCTAGATCAGATGTCAGCTGTATGAATTGAGGTAAAAAATTAATTACTTGCTGCATTAGGGTTCTCCACAGAAGCAGAACCAACCAGATAGATAGATATAGGTATACATATGTGGAGATTTATTGTAACAATTGCACATGCAATAAGCGAGGCCAAGAGGTCCCGCAATCAGCTGGCTGTGAGCTGGGGACCCAGGAAAGCTGGTGGTGTGTGTAGTTCAGTCCCAGCCCGAAGGCCTGAGAACCAGGGGAGCTGATAGTGTAAGTCCCTATCCCAGCCTGAAGGCCTGAGGGCAGGAGAAGGCATATGTCCCAACTCCAGCAAAAAGGGCAAAATCCCCCTTCCTCTGCCTTTTGGTTGTATTCAGGCCCTCAAGAGGCAGGATGCTGCCCTCCTGCAGTGGGGAGGGTGGTCTGCTTCACTGAGACTACAGGTTCAAATGCCAGTCTCTTCTGAAACACCCTCGCAGACACGCCCAGAAACGTTTTACCTGTCAAGCAGACACAGGAAATTGCCCACCACACTTGCTGTAATAGCTGAAGCCCAAATCTCAGCTATTTAGGGAACAGAAGTTTCTATTTCACATGTGCAGATAGAAAAATCAGTGGGCGGCTCTTCAAGTGGGCATCCAGGGTCCCACGTTCCTTGTGTCCGCGGCTCTGCCGGGCTTGCTCAGAGAGGGGGAAAGCACCCAGAGGACTGATCACGAGAGGTTTCAGGAAGGGGGCCCAGAAGTGGCACATTTCATTTCACTCACATTCCACTGTCCAGAGTTCAGTCACTCGGCCACGCCAAACTTCCAGGCCTCTGAGAAATGTCTAGCCACGTGCCAGGGAGAAAAGCAGTGGGGCTGGTCCGTGGCTCTCCAGTCTGTAGCATGCCAGCTCCCCGTGGGTTCCTGTGACTGCCCTCTTTTAGCTCACCTCACTCGAGTCCTGGACGTCTCCGTCCTGAAGTACTGTTTACCTGTGACCCACATGTGATGTCGAGATCTTGCAGTTCAAGCAGTGAATCAGTGTGACTATCTGGGGAGCATTTTTGCAGAGTCTGCTCTTTTGGCGGTTGAGTCTCATGCAGGAACTGCATCGCTAATGCTGCCTTGGGTATGAGCATGTGTGCTGGACCAGGCTGACCATGCACCGAGCAAAAGCTGGCAGCAGCGCATACATGATCCTTCTTTCTCTACTGACAAACTCTGGGAGGAGCAGCCTGGACTCCTTGCGTCTCCACTGTTTGAGTCTTGGTACCACTCACTACTTACAAACTCTTGTGTCGCTCTGTGCCTCAGTTTCCCCTTTCATAAAGTGGGGATGACAGTAACACCTCATTGAGTTGCTGTGAAGACTACATTCATGTAACAGACTTAGTCCAGTTTTTGGCATTTCTAATGCACACAGGAAATATTGGCTGTTGTTATTTTAATTCTGTTGACTTTCCCCATGCGCTACACAAGCAATGAAGAGAAGACTGCTGGGCTGTTCGCCACTCCCAGCTAAACAGCTCGTCTCATGACCACACTGCTTCATTAAGAAGCAGAGTCACGGGAATTTATGAATGTGGAATGTAATGAGAACCTGGAGTTTGTTTAGACAAAGCGTGTTTTGTTTGGTTTGCTTTAAAGAAAGATCTGCTGAAATTTTCAACTCAGATTCAACATGGCCTTTTCGAATGCCCCAAATCCAACTCTCTTTCTTGGATGTAGAATACTGGGAGCATTTAATTCCTGCCGGCTGCTTTCCAGCATGTCTTACTTAGGGTTATCGTTCGACAGAATAGATTTCTGGTGACAGCTTTCCCCCTATCCTCCTTTCACTTCCTCAGCCTCCGCCTTCATGGTGGGGGGTGATCTCATTTTGGACAAAGAAGAATTTATTTGAGATACTTTTAAGGGAACTTAAGGCCAGAACTAGAGAGACACTGTTATGAAAGACTTTGGGAATTTGGTGAGGATGGACTAGAAGAAGAGTTACATTGAGTAAATTTCTTTAACTTCTCTCTTCATCTTAATGAAAATCTCTTCCTTAATTTCCTTATTTTCTTAATGAAAAGTAACCCAAATTTGCTTTCCAAAATAACAGATAAAAACTAGATGCAAAAACCCTACTACCAGCGGATACTGATAAAATACCAGTATCCGCTGGTAGTAGGCTGATACTACTACAGTACCAGTGGCTGGGGCTCCTCCGGCTGTGTGTATGGACCCTCTGACAGATGGATCTTTGACTGAGGCAGAGTCTGAGTAACATTTTGGTTTCAGCGCTCCATTAGTCTAGTTGTGCTTTTCTCCAGCCTGATGTTATAGCCTATGTCATCATTAGAAACCACAACTCTGAGGCCATGTAATAGTTGAGTCCCACATGTTTAATACATTTCTGTGCCCCATAAAGCATCTGGTATAGCCTGTGATGTGTTGAGTGAAAATCAGCCAGAAAGTTTGGCATTTGCTGGCAGGAACCTCTCATGTTGACTGTGGCGTTCTGTGTTGATGTCCTAACTTTCAACTGAGTTCATTTGGGATCCTCTAGATGGGTGATTTTTGATTCGCTCATAATTCTTGTTTACTGGCAAAGGAAAGCCCCTCAAATCTCCTCTTTACCTCCCTCCCCCCACCAGGTTTAGAGTTACAAAAGTGGAGCACAAGTCAAACCAGAAGGAGCGGAGAAGTTTGATGTCGGTTAGTGGGACTGAAAGCGTCAACGGGGATGTGCTTGTGACGCCTGTGAAGAGAGATCGGAGTAGCATGGGGGAGCAGGTGAGTTGTCATTTCGGTGACTTTTGGGGTGGGGAGGTGCATGGTGGGGGGAGGGCACTGAGAGCCTCTCTGGGGCAGGGGGATGGAGAAAGAATGGCCGGGCAGGGAGGTGAGGAGGCTTTCTGGCAACTGGTTGGACTGGAGAGGACTGAGTGTGGATTCCTTGTCTGTCCAGAGCTTCTTAGAAAGAGACCGCAAGCTTGGGTGCCTCTAGGAGCTTGGCCTGCAGGATGCGGAGGAGAGAGGATTACTTATGAGGCAATGTGGAGTGGTGGCACTTGCGGCAAACCAGAAATCACATAACCCACCTATGAGTTTGCATTGCCACAAGGCAGAAGGCACTTAAGGTTGCTACATCTTATGCAGAAAAAGGAAGGGGGAAACCTGTACTTTTTAAATGGGAAATCCCCACAGGTTTTTAAACATTAACAGCATATTACATTTCCTTTAAAAAAAAAACAAACCAGGCAGGCCAAATGAAGTATGATCTTGTCATTTCTAGGTAAACTATGATTTGTAAAAGGCTAGAGCAAGCTTCTTCCATTAGTTGAGTTGGAAACCAGTTTTTTTAATGTGTCATCATTCTAAAGTACTCCCAGTAGGAATATTACTCCTTCCACCAAATATTTCGAAGCAATTTAAAAGCAAAAGTAAAGCCTTCTTGGTTTGGCAGTTTTCATTTTGGAAGCTATTGCTTTAAAAAACACCTGTGATAGTTTGATATATTGGCTTCGCTTTTACCTTACTCTTTTGTTTCTGTTCCGGTTTGAGTAGCATTCATCCTTTTCGTGTTTCTTATACGTGGCAGGGAGAGTGTGAGAACTCGGGAGCGGTCGTGGTGCAGAGGCTGTGATGAGACCTGAACCTTAAGGCGAAGGGAAGGCAGGGTGGGGCATAGGGAAGGGGACTGGTAGACTCAGGCAACCAGGTTCAAATCCCAGTTTTCCAGGTTTTCCACTCACTAGCACTGGGACCTGGGTGAGGCACTGTGGCTTTTTATGACTCACTCACCGCACTGGAAAATGGAAAGGATGTTACCTGCCTCAGGGTGACAGTGAGGTTTCTGTCAAATAACACGCAAGGCCCAGGGCCCGGCACAGAGGAAGTGCTCGGTCAGGGCTGCTGATTATGAATTGTTCATTCCCTTTTGGGTGGTGTGGCTGAGTAGGGGAAAGGAGTGGCTTTTGTGTGACGCTCCTCTGAGACTCTGCCAAGGCTCCGAGGGGTTGGGGGCAGCCTGGAAGGAACCGGCAAGGGTGTGCTCCTGAGCTCTGTAGACGCAGGGACTCTGCCAGCTTCCCAGGTCTGGTTCTTGCAGTCTTTCCTCGGGGGAGATCTGGCCCCTTCCCCTGAGTTTAGGAGCTGAATAGGGGCTTCTTTTAAAGACAAGAAAAAGCGCAGAAGTCTGTCTTTGGCTTCTTAGCCAGTTACTGGTGCTTTGGGAGAGCAACCAGGAGGAAGTTAGGAAAAGGAGGAAGATGATGAAGATAGTAATGAAAGTAGCTAATGTCAGTTCAGGATTCTGGTCACCTAGACATGTGATATGTATCTCACATATCTCCATTATAAACATCTCCTAATGGGATGGATACTAGCATCCCAGTTTTATTGATAAGACACCAATAAATAGAAATGATAAGCTACATGTTCAGGGTCACATATCTGGAAAGAGGAGCAGATGGACATGAACCTGGATCTCTGGTTACAAGACCAACTGTCCTACCATCCTAGGAGGCTCATGAAGAGGCAGCCTAGACCTACAAATGGAGAATGTTTCCACCAATGATCTAGACACCTCCTGGCTGTGGCTACTTCAGTTTAAATTGAATAAGTTAAAAATTTAGGGTGTGCCATATTGGGCAGTGCAGAGACAGAACATTTCCCTCAATGCAGAAAGTTTCATTGGACAGAGACGATGGTACCTTAGATGTTAGAACTGAAATCTGGAGGGACTTCGGTAAATCAGAGAAGCATTCTGATTAAAGTCAGGAGGACTTGTCAGGCTGGGAAGAGAGGCATCTGGCCATTCAAGTTTAGGGTGAGGAGGGCCCAGCCTGTTTAGCTGCAAAGCAAGCATAGGTTGCAGTGCAAATCTGCCTGAGAATGAATCGTCAACCTGGCCGCGTGCTGAGAGATGGAGCGGACCATGCGGAAGACACGCCTCAGCCTGATCAGAGGCTAGTGTACCCTGGCTTAGTTTGCCTTCTACTGCCTGGAGGAGGAACTTGACATTTGGGGAGCTTAAAAGAATTAGGATAGCTCAGCTGGTTTTCTTGGTCCAAATTCTGCCTGTATCTGACCATAGGAGTTTGATCTAATCATCTAAAGTCCTGACCACATGTAACTGTTTTCAATTTGATATTTCCGGCAAAGCCCATAATCATCCCCAGGATTTTGTAAGAGGGCATTGAATTTGATCAGAAGACACGCTCACCCCCTAGCTTCCCCACTTGGAAATTGGGGTACTTAACTGCCCTCTTCCCTGAGTGTGTCCTTGAGTGTGAAATTCATTGATTAAGGCACGTGCCAAAAGTGTCTGGTACGCAGTTGGCTCTCAGTAGAGGGCAGTCATTTTGTGCCCACGGATGACTCAGAAAGGGGATGCGTTTTCCTAGCCTTCAACTTGTAACTAATTTTGAATTTAAAAGTAAAAACTTTTGTTATGGAAATTTTCAAACAAACTCAAAAATAGAGAGAATACTATGAATGCTCTTAAGTCATGGAGTGATTCAATTATAATATCTACCACTTACTGAGTATGTACCATATACCTGGTGTGCTTTGAAAGATACGTTCCATGCACTAATGGATTTAAACCTCACAACGGCATCAGGTAGGTACCACCTAGTACTCATTTTGCAGGTGAAGAGTTTAGAGAACTTGTTTGAGTTACCAGCAAGTCTGTGGTACGGTTTAGACCCCGACCAGCCAGCCTGGCTTCCGGAGCCACAGACTTTGCTGCTTAGCCTGGTCCAGGGAGAGCAGTCCCGCGCTTCAGTCTGCTGGGGTTGGGACCTGTTGAGGGACCATGTCTGATGGCCCCAATGACGAATGGACTCTGAAAAAGGAAGGAAGGGACAATGGCTGATCTTTGAAAAAATGTCTGTATTCATCAAAATTTTTCCTGCTAGTGTTTTTGTTTTTTTTTGTTTTTTGTTTTTTTTTAAATATTTCTCATCCCCAGAAAGAATATGCTTAGGATATTTAACATGGCTTGATTTTCCAAGTAGAGAGATCCTGAAACTTTCCCTCCTAGACCTAAAGCTCTGGTTCTGGACTGAATCAAAAGATTTGCCCTGAAATATGACTAATATAGCAGGACAGGAATATTATGTGTTTTTCGTATAGTCTTGTACAGTGTTTAAAGTTATCTTTTTTTCCCTGGAAAATGTTTTTGTTTTTTGTTTAAATTTGGATATTTGGCCAAATTATTTTACTGTAGTAGCTTGTTTTACTATAGAGTTGATTCACATATTCAAAATATATCTACTCATTGGTTAGGTTTCCTTTTTTTTTTCTTTAGGTGGTTGGTACTAGAAACTAGACTTCGTATTCTAAACAGAATGCTATCAAGATGGCAGCAAGATTTCTCTCTCTTTCTCTTTTTAAAAAACAGAGCCAACCCACCGGCGTCCCCTCCCCGCCTTGCTCTCCCCGTCCTGCGCCCTTGGCCTGAGCAGCTCGGGCTAACATGCCCGCTGCCTGATTTATTTTGGCAATGCAGTTAAAATGGTTTCTTTTTTCCACAGAAAATGTGTTTTGATTTCTTCTTAGAAGAATAAGCTTTTGTTCTCCAAAGTTAAATCAAATTGCTTTCAGCCTACAGATGCCACTGCCTTGTGTTCATTGTCACTGGTCTTTCCCTTTTCCAAGATGACACTGTCGTGAGGGTTCTGTATCATACGTTTCTGAAGTATATACTCTTTTTCCCATTTTATGGTAGCATCTTATTGAAAACATTGACATAGAAAGTTTATAGAACAGTACTTTTTATCAAAACAAATTCATAATAGTAGACATCTCCTAATTTTAAATTGATTTATTATTAAAACTTCTATTAATTGTAATGTTTTATTTTTGTGAGTAAAAACTAAGTTTTAAACTGGTTAGGTTTAATTTTAACTATGCCACTAACTACCAATGATTTTAAACAAATTACTTAACCTCTCCAAGCCTTGGGTTCTTCATCTTTAAAATGGGGTTGTTGCTGAACTTAAATGTCACGATACATGTGGAGAGCTCTTCCATCAGACCTTGGTATTAGTATGTATTAAGTGTTCACTATTATCAATACCTTTCATCCCATTCTTGGTGGCCTTAGTTATTTATTAACTGATTCTTCAAGCATCTACTTTAGGTCCTGTGAATCCCTTTTTCCTTCTTAGGAACATTAGAGCTCTGGACTTTTATGACATCTCAACATAGAAGTTTGGCAAATCTCTTAGGAATTTGGGCCATTGTCTTGTTTGTGTTAAGAGGGCCTTAGAAATAACCATTCCTCTCTTCCTGGAGGTGGAATCAGAATTAGTTACAAGGTAATAGAAAACTTTTTTGAAGTTTTTTTTTAAATTGATTGATTTGAGAGAGAGAGAAGGGAAGCGAGAGAGGGAGAAAGCATGTGAGACATCGATTCGTTCCACTTTTTCATGCATTCATTGGTTGATTCTTGTATGTGCCCTGACTGGGGATCAAACTCGCAACCTTGGCGTATCCGGTCGTCGCTCTAACCAACTGAGTTACCCACCAGGGCTGGCAGTGGAAAGGCTTTGCTAACTTAAGTTCCTTTTATGATAAAGATCAGAGGATGGCAGTGAGAACTGGGAAGTTCTCTGTCCCTAACAGTGCAGCACTGCTGGGGCTCTACTCTGCCCCTTTTTGCCAAGACTGTTCTGGGGGTCATGCTCCCTCCTTCCTGAGTGTAGTGGCCAATCACAAGGTCAGCTTTTCTGACCTTTGGTGCCTTCCTCTTCTTTCTAACTGTGGGGATAGACAAGCCTTTC